TTGGAGCATTTTGGAGCAAAATCGGACTTGGATTGGATAGCTTATATTTGGAGCAAAATGAATGGACGAAATTAAAGACCAAACTATCATAACCACCTATCATTACTTATCATCACTTAACATATCATTCATTTATCACTTAACCTATCATTACTTATCATCACTTAGCATATCATTCATTTATCAATTATCAAACCATTCACTTATCACTCACCACATATCATTCATTTATTACTTAACATATCATTCATTTATCATATCATTCATTTATCACCACATATCATTCATTTATCACTTATCATAACCATACACTTATCACTTATCATACTCATAATCATCTACACATTTCAACCATTTAAAACATTCCACATGCTTTCACAACTTAATTCACATGCACATTCATCCACCTTTCTCCAAAGAACATCTCACATGCATTTCCACCTTCCTACTTCATCATTTCACCACCTTCTCCATCTTTATTCCACATGCATTTATCATAATTCACCCTAGCTACCACCATTCACACACACATGCACTTATTCTTTCATCATTGAACCACCAATTCAACACATGCATTCACACACCCTTTAATCATCCCCCCTTTAAGTTATGATTTTATTTCCTAACCCTACATGCATTATTTATTAACTCTTCATCATGCATCCACATTCATTCCAACACAAAACACACACATGCACTTATTCTTTCATCATTGCACCACCAATTCACCCACATGCATTTCCAACCATTCACACCCCTTTAATCATTCTCCTAGCTATCATTCACATGCTCTCCCATCCATTCTCTCCCTATATAAACCACACACACTTCATTCATTTGCATCATTCAATTCATCCCACACTTCCATTTCATTCAATTCCATCTCTCCATTCTCACACCACAAATAAACACTTCCCCTTAGAATCCAAAAACCATCTTCCATTTCCATGACTCCCCACTCCATTCCACACTTCCATCCCCCCAACCAACTATCCCTAGACCTTATGCTACAACGAAGAGGAAGAGAAGAGGGCCTAAACGTTCATACAATTCAAGTTTGAGTTGTTGGAATGTTTAGGCGTTTCTTTGATTTCAATGTTTAATTTCAATTCTCTTTGTTTTGTACGTATGAGGAACTAAACCCCCTTTAGCTAGGGGGTGATTCGAAATATATGTTTATGCTTGCATTATGATTTGAGTACTTCTAATTACGTTTCATAAGTTGTGAATTCAATTTGTTTAACTATTTGATTGATAATCTATTTATGTATGTTTATTGAGAGTCGACGCTTAATTTTCATGCATGAATTTGACGCTAGAATATAAGTGAGTTTCACGTAATAGTTATGAACTTATATTCACAAGTAGTGGAGGTTGCTTATAAACAATCGCGTTAAACAAATTCTTGGCATAAGTTTCATGCAATCATAGTAACGAATGCCTCGTCAACACTTATAGTTTTCATGATGCTTAATGATTCTTGCTTGTATCTCTATTATGCAATTCATGTAGGGAACTTGTGAGGAATGCTTTGGGTTGTCGTATGCAATCATCCAATTCATTAACTTAAGGAAAACTTGACGGTTAATTTAAGCGGACCTAATTAACCCGGAGCGTTGAGAATTCATGGTTTATTGAAATGCAATTAGAAATCTTTTTATTATGCAAGTGTAACATGTGTGGAGATGAACCCCTTGGCTAGCATCCATTCATTCCATTTCATCAATTTCATATTTACATTATGTTTTAATTGCAATTTGTTCATTTAGTTTAATTCCGTCCAAAACTCAATCCCCCTTTACTTTATTGTTCAATTTAGTTATAAATCATTTTAGTTTGTGTTTTTAAAGCATTTTGAGTCTTTTGGTTTGTCTTAGTGTTTTAACGTTTAGTTTCACATTCTTTGAGTCTAGTTTAGTGTTTTATATTGTTTTTACGTTTTTGAAGTCAAATCCAAGTGGTTAACAATCCCTCCTAATCCCCGGTCCAGAACGATCCCTACTTACATCCATACTACAATTGTCAAAAAGAGGGTTTAATTTGTGCGCGTATAATTCTCGCATCACGTAATTTCTTGTATTTATAGCACCTCGCTCCTTGAATCCCATTCTGATTTGGATTGGGAGTCCTTGTCCCGTTTTACCTTTAACTCGAACAATCCTCGTCCTACTGGGATTCTGAATTCTCCTCCTTTTGAGGCTTTATCCCTTGCCGGTCGAGAATCCTGGTCGCACCAGGATTTCCTCGACCTTTCCTCATTTATCTGGACTACTTAAGATAGGATCTGGCCGACCCTGCCAGCTGGTCCGGGTTTCATTATTTGGCCTATAGCATGTGTCATTACCTTGGGCCGAGCACATCTTGCTGCTCGGCCCAATCATAATATTTTGGGCCCAAACAATTGTCAATTAGTTTTACGGTGAAATCTCAACTTTCTTCTTGGTAATAGGTTGTCCCATGTGTGAAGCCAAACGGCCACACGCGCTCTACGTCATCCCGTTGTGTTGTCTACGTGTTTGGCTTGAAATTTTGCTACAGGTGTAGGTGTTGAGAATGAATCTCACATTAATGGGAGGACAGACCTTGCATGGACTTACAAGAGGATGGACGGACTACTGCCCCATATTGCTAATTGGTTTTATAGTGGAACCCAACTTTCTTCAACTACATCATTGATCGGATTCAGACACTCAGCAATGAAGATTCGGCTCCGCCTTGGATTCTACGAAGGTCTTATTTGCAACAGCTCGAAGAGAGACGCCATTTCTAAAGCCCTAGTTCTGTAGATGAATCTTGCCTTGCCGACTCCCTTTCTCACCTCTCGCAACTCTTTCTTCGCCTCAGTCAATATCTCCTTCCAATTTGGTTTTTCTAGCTTCAGTTTGTTTAACTCCTCCATCAATGTTAGATCCATGGTTTTGGGAGAGAAAAACTGGTTTCAAATTTCTTGATTAGAATTTGGGTAGAGAGACAGCGTTGTGACTGAGGAAGACAGTGTGTGTGTGTTTGTGTAATTTTTTAGAGGGAACAAAACAACCTTTTACATCTTCACTGTCCGATTAATCCACTATCAGCCTACCATTCCGAGTTCAAATCTGCTGTGACCAATTTTTCTCTGCCCACCTCTGCCTATATCTTATTTAGCTAGTGTGTCTGGAATATATAGTGGTGCACCACGTGTCATTATACAAGTGATGAGATACTTGTTTTAAAAAATTAACTTAAAAAATAAAACTTATCTCTACTTAATTATGTAATGGCACGTGGTGTATCATGTTTCGTGCATAATGAAAAATTTCTCCTCATTGTGGCACCATCTTCTCAGTTTTGTGAGAATATGAAAGTAAAAGAGTCTCCCATTGGTGAAAGTATAAATCTTGCAAGGCTTATAAGAGGCTAGGCTACTCCCTATATTCCCAATTGGTTTTATAGTGGAACCCAACTTTTTTCACAATATTATCGTATGATTTTTGCTGACCTTCTACCGCTGATCGGCTGATGGTATTTCAAATGCTGCTGAGGATCTGTGATCAAGATTAGTTCTCAAGAAAGTTATTTAGTTCTCAAGATTAGTTCGATTTCACTTGTCAGGTCAAGTATGTTGAATTCAAGTCTTTGGTGATCTTCTTTCGCTGATGGTATTTCGAATGCTGCTGAGGATCTGTGATCAATATTAGTTCTCAAGAAAGATTAGTTCGATTTCAGTTGTCAGGTCAAGTATGTTGAATTCAAGGCCAATGCCAGTTTAATGGCATTTGTGAAAGATTACAAGGCCAATGCCATCTTTCTTTGATCTTGTTGAGAGAGATAAGGCCGACGCCATTCTCTTCTTGTCATAAGTGCTAGAATTTGCAAATATAGCGGCTGTATTTTTCTCACTTCAGAAAGGCCAATACAAAACCCTATTTTCCCCTTACGTTTCATCTTCTCCATCGATCTCCTTCTCTGCTCTCTCACTTAAATAAATATTGGTTTGTAAACTGTTTCCTGGTCCAAGTAACGTTCCTTTGTCTACATTAGCTATAAACCCTAACTTTGATTGTAATTTTTTGGCTAATCAATAAGGTTAATTATTATCTTAATATTATTAGGCTAGTCAATGAAAGCGACTCGGGGGACCTTCTAGATACGGACACAGCCCTTGTAAATCGCATACATTATGTTTTGTTGTTTTTTCTTTTTTTTTTTTTTCTATTTTTTTATTTTTTTTTTTATTTTTTTTTTTTTGGGGGGTGGAAAACCTCGGCGGCACGAGGTAAATACATTATGTTTTGTTGGGGTTTCTTGTTACCAAAGGAATTGAATTGGATGACAGTGATTGACACATACTAGAATTAATAGAAAAGACCATCTCTATCATATGTTCCGTTTAATATTTTGTACAGGCTGGTGGAGATTTTTCCAGCTTTATAAACTATTCTTTGAGAATCGGTTTAGATGGTTTAGCGTGAACTAAAGACTTACAGATGCTCCAGTTAGAAGATAAGATTATGAAACGGAGGCTCAAGACAAAAATGATAGAGGGAAACGTAGGAAGACTTGGAAAGACATTTTAGGAAAAGATATGAAGTGCTTGGAACAAACGGAAGACATGGTGAAAAAACGAGCGCAATATCATCCTAAGACTCATACATGCAACTCCACTTAGTGAGATAAAGCTTGTGGTGAGAATTGTTTTTTTGTTATAAACTATTCCTTAATTTTCTAGTGACGGGTCGTGTTTTGGTGTTTGTTTTGTCCTTTCGGATTGTGTCATAGTTACCCGCACGCTTAAAGAACTTCAGAGTTCAGATGCCCTTTTGCTGAATAAATTAAATAAAATTCAATATACCCTTAAGCTAATTAAGTCGGAATTTTACCATATATCTTGAAGGTTCGGAAATTCCACGATCACTGTAGGCTGAAAATTAAGGTTTCGTTTTGAAGACATTTTAATTGGAACACTCATTTTTCATATACTGCTCATGATTCTGTCGAGAGACATTATAAAAGAACAGTACTACAAAAACTTTATGCAAGTCTGCATTATTAGTGAAGAGCAATGTAACTAAAACAACTAGTGTATACCCGAAAACACGACAAATTGGATTTTTTTCGTTCCTAAATATGATGATCAGCGTGTCTGAAAACCATGACTTAATACCAAACATCCCGTCCATTCTTTCCAGTACATGTAGGTGCAGCAACAAAATTTTTGTCATTCCCATTTGCTCTTGATCTGGTGAGTGTGCTTGAAATCATATGCGAGTAGTCCTGCAGCGCTTCCAGTCGTAGACATTCTCTTCAATACAAACCTCTCTACCAGCACATAACAACCAAATCTCTTCCACCCGCCACCACTCGTCCCCCTAAACTCTTCCACTCTCTCCATCCTCACTTGCCTTTCATCCCCACCAACCCACCCAACTCTTTCTTGCTCCCATTTCATTCTTTCAATAACTTTCATGCTCAATCCCACACTTGTTTCCCCTCCCACCCCATCAAAACTCTTAAACCACACAAACATATCACCCCCACCTGCATTTCTTTCATCCCAAACGGCCTCCCTTCCACCCACATAAACCACCTCTCTTTGAACAAAAGCATCCACAAACACAGCAGGATTCTTTTTTCTTTCAGTGTTGTCATTAACGCTGTCGAAAATCTTTTCCCATCTTTGCTCAAGTTTTATTTCATAGTACATAGAATATTTCATTTGGTCCTTCAACTTCACCCCGCCTTCCTTGACAAACATGAAAGGACAATACCACTTGCCAACACACACAACTTCAGAGCAGTCATGTGATAATGGAAAATAGAACCCAGGAAGGCTAGCTCGTAGCGAAGCGTTGAGTCCCGAGGCATCACCCAATTGGTAACGATACTGCGTGCTCATTCTCACGTTCCACCCTTTCCTCCTCAAGAAGTAAGGAGGAAAACCATCTGGATCAACGGACTTTGCAAAAAAACGACCGCTTTCTCTCTCCCTATGAACTATCTCAATTTGTTGATTTATGTCTGACGGATCCAATGGCTTTGGTTTAGCATCTGGAATACTTTTACCTCCGCAACAGCCAATATCCGTGTCCTCTTCCCTTGTATTTGTGCATGCTTCCCTGCAAATCAAATCAGTTCCAATATTAATTACTTGACTATAAGAATATGCGTGGATGTGTGTGTGTCTGCGTACCCTTTATGGCGCCCTCTTCGAAGTATGACATGGTATCGATTGGAGGACAAGGGTTGATTAAGCACTGGAATGAAGGCAACCTCATCGCCATCTGAGCCATATCCAACTGTTAAATCCTTGTTCTGAGGGAAAGGCAAACCTTTAACCTCGTCGTCCTCACATCCGCAACAGTTTATCTCGACTGATTCGTCGTCATGGAGTACAAGATAACCAGAATTTGGACCCTCCGGGGGCGGAAGAGACAGTGACTGAGGAGACCTTCTATACACAGACAGAGGCTTTGTCACATACATTTTTATGACCAAATTAAAGAAGAGTTTAAGAAAAGAAAGACTGGCTCACTTTCAAATTGTTTTGATGAAATTACATGATTACAAAGAGTTTTAATTTATAGGATTCAGGAAGTCAAACTTCTGAGAACGTACTTGGATTATTCTTGTGGTGTTAACCCCTAGGTTCAAGGTTAGCTAATTGGAAAGAGATTCTTTCCAAATCCCTTCTTCCTAATCCACCAAATCAGGGGATTTATGTCGTTGAAATTTAATTTAACAACTAAAGTTATTATAACTTTTAAAGTGGGTCTCTGTTTGCAGCCATTAGATCATTTTTCAATAATACGGATTCCCTAATTTGATGGATTAGGAGAAAGAGATCCGGAAAGAATCCCTTTCCTAGCTACTTGTACTTCACAAAGAAATTGGTGGTGTATAGAGAACAACACTTTATTTTGGCATTCCATGATGATACAACTTTGTGGATAGAACTTACATAGAACTTTGAATCATTGGAACGAGATGTCACGGTAACGAAAAGTATATAAATGTGTCATGTTATGAAAGTCCTTCTCTTAACTTCAAGTTTGAGTCATAATTATGATCAATTTTCTGATAAATATTGTCTTGCTTGGTCGTGTGTTGATACAAGCAGAGTTAGAAATTGACAATTTGCAGCAAATGCCAGGAAGGTTCGTAGAAAAAGTCTTTCGCATAATGTCTGTCTTCTATTTATGTAGCACCTGCTTGGAAGGTTGCATTAAGTCTTTAATTATGATTCTTGAAAGTGACAAATTATTATTTTGGCACTTCACCACTTTGTTGAAATTCCGCATACAGACGGAATGCGGCATGCTCCGGCATGTTGACCAGGTCCCCGCATCGTCGTCATGGAGTACAGGATAATCAGAATTTGGTCCTTCCGGAACGCTAGAGAAAGTAACTAAGGAGACCTTCCATACACAGACAGAGGCTTTGTAACATACACTTTTGTAAGCAAAGAAGACAACGTTTACGAAAATAACCATCGGTTCGCTTTCAAATTGGTTTGATGAAATTACTAGATTACGAAGAGGTTTAATTTATAGAAATTCAGGAAGTCAAACTTCTGAAAAGGCACCTATAACCTTTGCACGTTATATCCTTGGTTTATGGTTTAGCCTCTTGTAATTCAGAAAACTGTTTGCTCCTGAGAATTTTTAAGGAGTTAAGTGTATGAAGAGAAACTTATATGATATGGTTACACTGTGGCATCCTATGTTAATATTAATACAACTTCATATGGTAAAAAAAATTATACAAAACTTTGTATGATTGACATGAGGTGTCACAATAATACGAAGTATACTTGTGTCGTGAAAATTCGTCTATTAACGTTTAAGGTATTATTATAATTAATTTGGATTAATTTTAGTTTACTACCCTCAAGTTTCTTAGTTTTCAACATTTAGTACATTAAGTTTTTTTCATCCTGGAGTGGTACTTGAAGTCACAATTTTGAAACAGTTTCATACATCTGTTAAAATTGCTGTTAAGTTAGCCAATAACTAGTGATGTGACACCCAGACGAACAATGAATGGATGTCACGTGTCAATATGAAACCCTCATGAATAATAAAAAATTAAAAAAAAAATTAAATTTAAAAAAAATAAACCCAATTCTATCTGAACCCTCCCTCTTCTTCTTCGATTCCCTCTCTCTCTGCCCCTTCTCTCCACAACCACCACTTGCTCACTCCTCTCGTAACCCCCTTTCTCTCTGCAACGCAACCCAAACACAGACCCAAGGGCCGAACCCTCGTCTACCGATCATGTCCCTGCAATCCGCGATCCACACCCTTTCTCTCTGCAACGCAGCCCAGACCTAGACCCAAGGGCCGAACCCTCTATTTCTGCTGCTCATGATGGCTCTATTCCTTTCCAAGTGGACCCACACCTAATTCCCATTTTCTGAAAAAAAAAAAAAAAAAAAAAAAAAAAAAAAAAAAAAAAAAAAAAAAAGAAGGAGATCCCTTAGCCTAAAGAGTTATAAATACATATACATATATATATATATATATATATATTTTTTTTTTTTGGTTGATTGTTAATTCTTATCCAACATGTGTTACAAATTCACATTACAAAGTGAAATGCATCCTGTCGAGCTGAAGAAATTCATCCTTTAAACTGAAATGGCAGGAACAAAACGGGTGAAGTGAAACTACTCATGATTGTTTCCTCATCAAATCAAATGTCGATACGGCTAGGGTGGCAGTGGCATTGTGGCAACGGGCGCTTCAGTTTCCGTCATTCCCATTTGGTTCGAATCTGGTGCGTGTGCTTGAATTCATATGTGAGTAGCACTTCCGAGTTTCCATTCGTTGACATTCGTTTCAATATAAACCTCTCTACCAATACATAACTACCAAATCGCTTCCACCCGCCACCACCCGTCCCCTCAAACTCTTCCACTCTCTCCACCCTCACTTTCCTTTCACCCCCACCAATCCATCCAACTCTTTCTTGTTCCCATTTCATCCTCTCCACAACTTTCATGCTCAATCCCACTCTTGTTTCTCCTCCCACACCATTGAAATAATTCTTGAACCACATGAACCTGTCTTTACCCACATTTTTTTCAGTCCAAAAAGCTTCCTTTCCGTCAACAAAAACCGCTTCTTTTTGAACGAGAGCATCCACAAACGCAACACCATTATCTTTTCCTTCAGCGTTGTTATAAGCACTATCAAAAATCTTTTCCCATCGTTGCTCAAGTATAATTTCATAGAACATACATTTTTTCATTTGGTCGTTCAAATTCACTCCTCCTTCCTTAACAAACATGAAAGGACAATACCACTTACCAACACCCACAGCTGCAGAGAAATCATACGATAATGGAAAATCGAACTGCGGAAGGCTTGCTCGTATAGAAGAGTTGATTCCTGAGGCTTCACTCAATTGGTAATGATGCGGCCCTCTCATTCTCGCATTCCACCCTTTTCTCCTCAAGAAGAGAGGAGGAAACCCCTCTTGCTCAACAGACTTGGCAAAGAAACAATTGCTGGTTTATGTCGGACGGATCCAACGGTTTTGGCATAGCATCTGGAATAGATTTACCGCCGCAACAGCCAGTCTCAGCCACGTCTTCTTTTCTTGAATTTGTGCATGCTTCCCTGCAATTTAAACCAATTGCTATATCAACTGTAAATGGAAACTTTTCTATGTGACAGAAACACGCCACATGAAGTTAAGTATGAAGAACATGCATGGATGTACATATATGTATATGCATACCCCATATGCTTCCCACTCCGAAGTATGACATGGTATCGATTGGAAGACAGGGGCTGATCAAGCACTGGAATGAAGGCAACAACGTCTTCATCCGAGTCATATCCAACACCTATATCGTAGTTCTGAGGGAAAGGCAGGTCTCTGACCACGTCATCAGTGCCAACAGCGCATCCGCAGCATGTTACCTTAACCCGTTCTTCATCATGGAGTACAAGATAACCAGAATTTGGCCCCTCCGGCGGCCGTAGAGACAGGGACTGAGGAGACATTCGACACGCAGACAGAGGCTTTGTCACATACATTAGGCCTTAAGGAAGACTGGCTCACTTTCAATTTGTTTTGATATGAAATTTACTTGATTACAAAGAGTTTTAATTTATAGGTAATGAAGTCAACCTTCAGATGCATGCTCTTATTCAGTTATTTGATTAGTTAATCTAATTACAAATTAGAAAATAATTCAGAAATTGCTGGTGTAGCTTCGAGTTTAATAAGTCATTATTATAATTCTATCTTGATCTTATCTTCACTGGGAAGTCAGAAGTTGACAATTTGCAGCACATGCCAGGAACATCTCTCAATTACCCTAAACTGGAAAAAATCTTTCAGCTTAATGTCTGGATTTCTTTTAATTGTTTAATTTGTAGCACCTGCTTGGAAGGGTTCATTGAATCTGCATTTATACTTCTTTACAATGACAAATTGTTACTATGGCAGTTCACCTTCAAGTTCTAGTTGACGAGAAATTTTCAATTTTTCAATGTGAACGTCACACATGGTACGGTATGGCACGTGCATTTATTTTTTAATATTTTAGCATGAGTTTGTAACACATCAAGCTGAAGAAATACGTACTTTAGTATATTAATTATATAATGATCAAGATTTTCTTCCGAATAGGAAATAATATTACTTCGAGCGATTAATTACATCCATCAAAAGCACATGACCATATGAAATTTTCAATCACAAACCAAAAAAAGAGCAAAAATCTCATTCCCATTCGCTGCTAATGTGTTGAGTGTGTTTGAAATCAGAAGTTAGCACCGAGCTTCCATCCATTCTTTTCAACACAAGCCTCTCTACCAAAACATAGCAACCAAATTTTATCCACTTACCCACCTCTCCAAACTCCTCTAACCTTTTCACTCTCACTTGCCTCTCATTCCCTCCAAACCTTCCAAACCTTTGTTGCTCCCACTTCATCCTCTCCACAATTGCTAAGCTCACCCCTACATTGTCTAAACCCCTATACCACATAACCCCATTAGCCACATCCATCTCCTCATGCACAGCATCCGCGTTCCCACCAACAGCAACAGACACGTTTTCAATGAAAACATCAACCACCACAGCGTTGCCTTCGCTGTAATTACGTCACGTGCAAATATTTGTTCCCATCTTTGCTCAAGTGTCATCTCGTAAAACCTTGTCCTGCTCATTTGATCTTTTGGTGTTCCCTCCTTAACAAACATGAAGGGGCAATACCACTTTCTCACAACCACCGGATTCGAGCTTGTAAGCGATAATGGGAAGTTGAAATCTGGAAGACAGGCGCGTAGCTAATTAAGTCGGAATGTTAGCATATATCTCGAAGGTTAAAAAATTCCATGATCATCATAAGCTGGAAGTTAAGGTTTCTTTCAAGCTTAATGTCTTTCTGTGCAAGACCTGAGATTGAAGACATTATAATGGAAACACTCATTATTTATACACTGCTCATGATTCTGTCCAGAAACATTATAAAAGAACAATGCTGCAATAATGTACCTAAAACGATTAGTGTATACCCGAAAACAGGACAAATCGGAAGTTTTTTCGGCCCTAAATACAATGATCAGCGTGTCTGAAAACCATGACTCGATACCAAACTTCCCGTCCATTCATTTCAGTACATGTAGGTGTAGCAACCAAATTTTTGTCATTCCCATTTTCTACTAATCTGGTGAGTGTGCTTGAAATCATATGCAAGTAGTCCTGCCGCGCTTCCTGTCGTAGACATTCTCTTCAATACAAACCTCTCTACTAGCACGTAACAACTAAATCTCTTCCACCCGCCACCACCCCTTCCCCCAAACTCTTCCACTCTCTGCACCCTCACTTGCCCTTCATCCCCACCAACCCATCCAACTCTTTCCTGCTCCCATTTCATTCTTTCAAAAACTTTCATGCTCAATCCCACACTTGTTTCCCGTCCCACCCCATGAAAACTCTTAAACCACACGAACATATCACCCGCACCCGCATTTCTTTCATCCCAAACAGCCTCCTGTCCACCCACATAAACCACCTCTCTTTGAACAAAAGCATCCACAAACACAGCAGGATTCTTTTTTCCTTCGGCGTTCTCATAAACGCTGTCAAAAATCTTTTCCCATCTTTGCTCAAGTTTTATTTCATAGTACATGGAATATTTCATTTGGTCCTTCAACTTCACCCCTCCTTCCTTGACAAACATGAAAGGACAATACCACTTGCCAACACACACTACTTCAGAGCAATCATGTGATAATGGAAAATCAAACCCGGGAAGGCTAGCTCGTAGTGAAGAGTTGAGTCCTGAGGCTTCACCCAATTGGTTACGATCCAGCGTGCTCATTCTCACGCTCCACCCTTTCCTCCTCAAGAAGTAAGGAGGAAAACCATCTGGATCAACAGACTTGGCAAAAAAAGGACTGCTGCCCATCTCCTTGGGAAGTATCCTAAATTGCTGATATATGTCTGACGGGTCCAAGGGTTTTGGTTTAGCATTTGGAATACTTTTACCGCCGCAACAGCCAATATCCGTGTTCTGAGCCATCTGAAGGCAACAGCATCGTCATCTGAGCCATATCCAACGGTTAAATCCTTGTTCTGAGGGAAAGGCAAACCTCTAACCACGTTGTCCTCGCATCCGCAACAGTTAATCTCGACTGATTCGTCGTCATGAAGTACAAGATAACCGGAATTTGGCCCCTCCGGGGGCGGTAGAGAAAGTAACTGAGGAGACCTTCTATACACAGACAGAGGCTTTGTAACGTACATTTTTGTAAGCAAAGAAAATAACGTCTAAGAAAAGAACTATTGGCTCGCTTTCAAATTGGTTTGATGAAATTACTTGATTACAAGGAGGTTTAATTTATAGAAATTCAGGAAGTCAAACTTCTGAGAAGGCACCTATAACCTTTGCACGTTATATATCCTAGGTTTATGGCTTACCTTCTTGTAATTCCGAAAACTGTCCGCTACTGCAAATATTTAAAAAGCTGGTGATGTATGGTGAGCAATTTATATGACACGTTTATATTAATATTGTGATATTTTATGTTACAAATACAATTTCACGTCATAAAAAACTTACATAAAACTTTGTATCATAAGCACGAGATATCATGAGAACACAAAGTATACTCATGTTATGAGAGTCTATATACTGACGTTTAAGCTATTATTTAATTTTCTTATGTGATTTTAGGAATCCGGATCCTCTTTGCGAGGATCTTGGAGATTCGTCAATTATGTTCGTTCATCGTACAGCGTACGATAAAAAATTATTTTAAATATTTTTATTTAAAATTAAACACAAATAGTACTTGAAAAAAATTAATTCCACGATATACGATAAATGAACACGATTTACGGATCTTCAAAATCCTTATCAAAATGATCTGGAAGGGATCCTATTGGCGATTTTAGCGGTGGAGATTAGTCTAATGCTGATAATTACGTCGTAGTCTTATCTTGATTGGTCTTCGATTGATACAAGCAAAGTGTCAGAAATTGACAATTTGCATCAAATGACCTTACGTAGAATTTTGTATCCTTGATACAAGTTATTACGGTAACACGAAGTATACTTTTGTTATGTAATTCTGCCTATTGACGTTTAATCTATTATTTAATTTTCTAATGTGATTTTAGCGGTAGAGATTAGTCAAGTGCTGATAATTACGTCGTGGTCTAATCTTAGAGGGATTTTTCAATGTAATCGGTACATCAAGTAGTACATTACGTGTCATTATACAAATTATGAGATATGTGTACTAAAAAGTTAATAATTAAAAAAAATAAAATTTTCTACCATTTCTATTAAAACATGTGATGTATCATTTGTGTTCCCATCACAACTAAAAATTCCGCTTTATTTTGATTGATCTTCGGTTGATACAAGAAAAGTGTCAGAATTTGACAATTTGCATCAAATGCCTGGGGGGTTCGTACATTTATTTCTCAGTTACCTTAAGTTGGAAAAGGCCTTTCGGCATAACGCGTGTTTTCTAGTGTTTTTTTTATTTTTTTAATCACCCGTGTCTTCTATTGTATGTCGCACCAGGTCGGAAAGGTGCATTAAGTCTAATTGTAGTTCTCTACGACGGCAAATTATTGGTTTGGAAGTTTACCTCCTCCTTCTTGTTGACATCTAATTTTGATATGGCTACTTATCTTCAATGTGACGATCACGTTGAGAGGTGTTAAAAACGACACATTATTATTGTTTTGGAAGCTTACCTCCAAAACTTCTTGTTGAAATCTAATTATGACTTTATCACATACACTTTCATAGAAATTCTGAATCATCACTCTCTGTTGTTATTTTATTTTATTTTATTTTTTATGGAGAAAATTGATATATGTCTAATTTTTTAGTCAATAATAGAAATAGTATATGTCTAATTTTTTAGCCAGTAATAGGAATAGTCTACTTTATTAAAATAAGCCCAATTCTTTGAATTTAATTATTTTTATTATCAATAGTTATCTTTTCAATGATAAGATTTATTATAAAAATCAAATGTCTTCCTAATTATCTCTTTGATTATTTCTTTTTTTTTTTTTTGTTATTTCTTGTTACCTTTTAGTTAGGTTTCATATCTTTCTTATAGGTATATTATATTCATATATTTGTTACTTGAGTTAGGATATAATGTTTTGCAAATAAAATTTATGTTAGTATATTAGTTTTTTTTTTTTGTTATAAGATATTAATTAGATTTTTTTGGAGTTGAAAAATGCATAATATTAGAAGATTTTAATTGATTTTTAATATTTAAAAAAATATAAAATGAATGTTAAAAAATAAAAACATGTACTTAGAAAACTGGACTCACTTAAAAAAATTTTAAGTTGTTAATTGTGTAGTTTAGCCGAACTCTTACTTTTTTAAATGTAAAAATACCGATATACTCAAAAAAAAAAAAAAAAAGCCCTTTTTCTATTTGTTTGTAGGAAAAAAAAAAGGAAAGGATTTCTTGTGCTTTATAAGTTGTCTTGGAGGGTAACGGACCTGTAGAAATTGACTTAGTCAATTGCTTGTTGCTCTAGTCGACTGTTATTTTTGAATATTTTATTTGTGTTCAATGTTGCCAATTATACAAGAATTTTCCTACAATTCTTAGTCAATACGGAATCTCCATATGACATTGACATATAATATAAATTCTTGATTTTGAGCCATATGACTAAGTAACAAAGTTCGCTTTGAACTAAGAATCCTTCTCATTTTTAGGAAAAATTATTAAGTCCAACAATCGGATTGAATGGATTATAACTCACTCACAAAAAAAATGAAACCCTCTATATTTAAATACTATCTAACTACATGTAAATACAAATTCCAATGTGACGGCCCTATAATTTTGTGAATGAATGGTTTGACTATACAAAACATGGGGCATCATTGAGCAAAATTATGTAAACATTCCTCAAAGGGTGTTTCTTGGATAAACTGGGTTTGTGATTCACAAAAAAATTTACAATTTCATAAATCAAATAGTCCCTCTAAAAGCATAACTGAATCCATAACCTAGAAAATGTTCAAAAATTCCAAATTTGAAATTTTTTCTCGGTACAAAATCTGAAATTTTGTACACAATTAGCATATATAAATACAAAAAACACAGGACAAATTTTCATTTCCATCAGTCCTAACCTGATGAGTGTGCCTGAAGTCATGGCTAAAAACCAAGCTCCCATCCATTTTCTTCAAAGAAAACCTCTCAACCAATACAAAAAACCCCAACTTCTTCCAGTCACCCAACCCCCAAAACTCCTCAACCCTCTCACAACTCTCACTCCCCTTCTTCTACCCCACCCACCAACCCTCCCTTGCTCCCACTATAGTACTATAGCATGAGTTCATAACACATCAAGCTGAAGAAATATATCCTTTATTTTAAAAAGGGCAGATTACACAGGTGAAATGAATCTACTCATAGTACTTATATAATGATCAAGATTTTTGTCCAAATAAAAAAAAATAATGGAAAGGATATTACTTCGAGTGATTAATTACATCCACTAAAAGCACAGAATGAAATGAAATTTTCAATCACAAACCAAAAGGAGCAAAAATTTCATTCCCATTTGCTCCTAATATGATGAGTATGTCTGAAATCGTAAGTTAGCACCAAGCTTCCATCCATTCTTTTCAACACAAACCTCTCCACCAAAACATAGCAACCAAATTTTCTCCACTTATCCATCCCTCCAAACTCCTCTACTTTTTTCACTCTCACTTGCCTCTCGTTCCCTCCAAACCATCCAAACCTTTGTTGCTCCCATTTCATCCTCTCCACAATTCCTAAGCTTACCCCCACATTGTCTAAACCCCTATACCACATAACCCCATTAGCCACATCCATCTCCTCATGCACAGCTTCCGCGTTCCTGCCAACAGCAACAGACTCGTTTTGAACAAAAACATCAACCACCACGGCGTTGCCTTCGCTATAATTACCGTCACATGCGAATATTTGTTCCCATCTTTGCTCAAGTGTCATCTCGTAAAACCTTGTCCTACTCATTTGATCTTTAGGTGTTCCCTCCTTAATAAACATGAAGGGGCAATACCACTTCCCCACAACCACCGGATTCGAGCTTGTAAGTGATAATGGGAAGTTGAAATCTGGAAGACGGGCGCGTAGCTTAGCGTCTAGACCCAGCGCTTCACCTAAATGGAAGTCACGGGGAGTTGAGGTGTGTATTTCCCACCCTTTTCGTCCAAGAAATTTTGGAGGGTACCCATCTGAAGCTATGGATTTGGCAACAAAACCCCCAAATTGATTGCATCTTCCTTTCTGCTGGATCTCATATTGCTGGTAAATGTTATTGGGATTGAACGGCTGTGACGGCACATCCTTTACATAAGTGCAGAAGCAGCAGGTTCCCAAGTTCTCATCTGTTGAACATGTGTAGGCTTGCCTACATGGAACCCGAAATCAATTAAGTCGCACAATGGACTAACAATGTATTTCAAGTTAGATAACAAAAAAGATATTAATAATATTACTACGGGAATTGATATTGCCACTCCAAAAATATCAAGCTCAAATTGAGATTGCATACATACCCTTCAAGCTTTCCACGCGACTGGATCGCATAGTAACGGTTGGAAGCCAAAGGCTGGTTAAGGACCGGAATGAAGGCGGTGTAGAAACGAGAAACATGTCGGCTTTCTCCCGTTTGGGTGACATAACGAAGCTTTAGATTCTTGTTCTGAGGTAAAGGCATGTCAAGGAGCTCGTGGGATTTGCATAGACCAAAGCAACATGTCGGCTGTGCTTCTTCATCTCGGATGACCAAGATGCCGGAATTCGGACCCTCTGGCGGGGGTAATGAGAGATCCTCAGGAGACTTTTTGTACATCGACAGAGGCCTTGTGACGTACATTTTTGCAGAAATTCTTATTCTTCACTCTCTGTTTTTTCTATTTGTTCTCAGGAATAAAGGAAAAGGATTTCTTGTGCTTTATAAGTTGTCTTGTAGGGTAAAGGACTTGTAGAATTTGACTTAGTAAATTGTTTGTCGCGACTGTGGTTCTTGATAAGATTTGCCAATACGCGGAGGTGTAACGCTCGCAGCCAATCGTGGGTTGACAATGATTAAGGAAGTCATGAATTTTCTTACACTTCATAGTCAATACGAAATTTCCCTATCACATATTATATAATTCTTGTTTTTGACTTTTTGAGCCATATGACGATGTAAGTTGGAACAAATTTGGCTTTGAACTAAGAATCAGTCTCATGTTTTGGTAAAAAATTTGTGTCCGACAATTAATTAAATAGACTGTCTAACCCACTTATAAAAAAATGAAATTCTCTATGTTTAAATATCATCTGACTTTATGCAAGTACAAATTCCGATATCACGAACTTTTGTGAATGAGTAGAATAATCCACCTGATTCGACTGTAGTACACAAATTTTTCTACTTTTGCACATTAGATCATAAGTAAATTTACACTTTATGTGAACAATGAACATTGTAAACAGCATTGATCAGAATTATGTGAACATTCCTCAAAAGGTGTTTCGTGGATGAATTGGGCTTGTGATTCACAAAAGAAATGTACACTTTCATAAATCAAATAGTACCTCAAAAAGCATAACTGAATCCATAACCTTGACGTTAGAACTATGGAAAAAAACCCAATCTGAAATTTTATACACAAATAGCATATATAAATATAAAAAGGATTAAGTATAACTTTTTTGTTCGTTACCAATAAAATTTTCTTTGTGGCATTGATATTAAAAAATAAAAAAAAATAAAAAAAAGAGGAGAAATTTTCATTTCCATTTAGTCCTATGATTAGTGTGCCTGAAATCATGGCTAAAAACCAAGCTCCCATCCATTCTCGTCAAAGAAAACCTCTCAACCAATACAAAAAATCCTAACTTCTTCCACTCACCCAACCCCCCAAATTCCTCAACCCTCTCAACCCTCACTCTCCTTTCTTCTCTACCCCCACACAACCACCCACCCCACACCACCCACACCACACCAAAACCACCCCCCCCCCCCCCCCCCCCCCCCCGACAAAAAAAAAAACAACCCAACCCCCCTTGCTCCCGCTTCATCCTCTCAAAAATTGCTGAACTCACCCCATGCACGCTTGTCTCTTGCCCAAGATTGTTCCCCCCCCCCCCCCCCCCCCAACACACAAAAAAACCAACCCAACCCCCCTTGCTCCCACTTCATCCTCTCAAAAATTGCTGAACTCACCCCCATGCACGCTTGTCTCTTGCCCAACATTGTTCAAACTCCTATGCAAAACCACCCCATCATCATCCCCATTTTTCTCATCACACCCACCTTCCCTCCCTCCCACCATAACCGCTTCACTTTGTACAACAAAATCCACACCAATGGCGTTGCGTTCACCGTGTCGAAAACTATGATCCTTCACAAATACTTCTTCCCACCTCTGCTCAAGTGTCATCTCATAGTACATTGGTCTGTTACTTATGTCCATCAACGCTTTCGGCGTCTCTTCCTTAACAAACATGAATGGACAGTACCACTTCCCTACAACCACATTCTTTAGTGGGAAATTGAAATCCGGAAGACGGGTGCGTAGGGAGGCATCTAGGTCCGTGCATCACCTAGTTCAAATCCGGGGGACGCTAAGCTTGTGATTTTCCACCCTCTCCTCCACAATGCCTCGGGAGGGTACCCATCTTTGGACATTGATCTGGCCACAAAACCACCCGACACATTGATAATGTTTTTGTGAAGATTAATCTTGTATTGCTGATACATGTCCTTGGGATCAAAACGTTGCGGTAGTACATCGTTTGTGCAGCTGTCGAAGCAGCATGTTTCGATGTCCATGGAATCCTCGTTTGCACTTGTGTACCCTTCCTGGCAAAACAAAATCATGCTGCATGTTACAACCCTCGCTCGTTAGGTCAGTTAGCTAAAGCAGTGTGTCGTCACATTGCAACCTTAGAATGTGGTTTTTTTTAACTGAAAATATGACTTTAGCCCCTATAACTCAATTTTCTCCACATAAAACCCGACGTAAATTTTTTGCTCAAATAAAACTCATTGACTAGACTCCACGTAAGCAAATTCATTAATTATGTTTGACTTTACCCATTTAAAAATTTTCAGATGCCTAAAACGCCCTTATTGAATGTTTAATGTACACAATTAATTCTATACAAATTGTAAGGGAGAATTAATGATTTTACAAAAATAATATTTTGCATATAAATTTAGGGATTTGTTGGTTAGTTTGGATCTCGAATTCCAATTTACCATTACAATGTGTCCATATTATATATAGGTAAATTATTGTACTTTAAAATATATAAAAAAAAAATTGTTGTTTAAGTAAAAATATATAAATTAAAGGAGATAAAAATTGCAGGTAAAGTAATTTTAGGACAAAGAAAAAGAAAAGCACCAACTATAGGTAAATTATTTACAAATACAGTCTAGATATTTGATTCACATAAAAAATGTAGATAAATCACGTGTGCATAATTTACCTACTTGCATAATTTACCTACTATGATATTAATTTACCTACTTGCATAATTTAGGAAAAATACCAACAAAACATGAGAATATTATTTGCATATATCATAGGTAAATTGCCAAAAGAAAGATGAGAATATTTTGTTTATATAATGTACGTAAATTACAAACTATAGGACTATATTATTTATATAAGTAAAGTAGGGACGTTTAACTATTATATATAAGGAGAATAATTACACCGAATAATAATGTAGTTATTATTTAAAGTAATGCACTAGATTGTTGTCGAAATTAAAAATAAATAAATAGAAAAAACGTCAGGATGATTACTTAGATTTTAAGGCCCTTGATTGAAGCTAATTTTCAAGTGTGGGTTGTGGCAAAAATTGTAAATAATTTGTATTAGTAGGTTACTTATATTCTTATGTGGCAGTTTATTTGACTTTTGGGTTTTTGTTGGATTTTTAATTATATATGAGTTTATGTTTAGAAATCATGATTTTTCAGGACTAATATCTAATGAACCATTTTTTTAAAAACAAAATGTTATGAACCTCATTATTGAAATTTACCATATATCAGTTGTACTCTCCATCTGCGCACAAGTTTGTATTTATCTTCCCATAACTTAATTACATTAATTAGAATATCACTCGACTAGAAAAACTTGCCCTTTATCCTTCCCATATGGACCAAGAACTGGGATGAAGAAAACTCCGTGGAGTTGAAGATCTCTGTTGGGATAAAACCAAGACGCATGGTAAAGCTCAAGGCTCTTGTTCTGAGGGAAAGGCAGCTCTTTAATCAAATCGATATTCGATAACTCGAAACAGCAAATTGTTTCTTCGTCTTTGACGACAAGAATGCCGGAGTTTGGACCCTCCGGCTGAGGCAGAGAGATCAGCCGGAGACTTTTTGTACATCGACAGAGGCCTTGTCACATACATTTTTGCAAAATAAACTCTTCACTCCGTTTTTCTTATTTGTTCTTGAGAGAAAAAAAAAAAGAAAAGGAAAGGCTTTCTTGTGCTTTATAAGTTGTCTTGGAGGGTAAACGACTGTAGAATTTGACTTAGTCAATTGTTTGTTGCTCCAGTTGACTTTTAGGTGAGAAAATCGCCATTCTTGATAAGATATGCTAATATGTGGTTGTAAGTAAAAAGCTCAGGCAGATGAGGATTCTTGGCGCGGCAGTCCGTATACGTCGAGCAGACTCACGAGGGATCAATGTAGGATTGGGAAGAGAAATGGGTAGAAGTTTTTCCCTACTTTGGAACCCTTTTTTATTGCGGCATCCTTATTTGGCAGTAGACTCAAAACATGTGAGATCGGGTGAGTAAAGATGTGGAATCTCGCTCCTTCGTGAGGTGTGTCCAGTGTCCCACGAGTTATGTGGTTCGGAAGTTAGACTCGACAGTTTTCTTAGAAGAGATTAAACAACAAAAGTTCAACGTTGACAAGACGAGAAAGCCTTTAGTAGAACAATTTGATCATCTAGCTAATCCGTGTGCATATTAAAAGTGGCATCTACTTAGAGTTAGATTGTACGTTAATATAGTGGGGGTCATTCTTTTGTAGGGTGTTTCAGATGAGTTATGATGTCTACCAGACGAGACAATTCGACCATCCAGCCAATCCGGGTGTATTAAACGTTGCATCAACATAGGAGTAGTATTAATACCCTAGTATCGTCGGAGCCGTTCTTTTGTAAGACTTGTGCTGACTTGCTGGATGGTTAAACAGCTCTACCCAAGTTCTTCAACCACAAGACTCCGTTTTGCTTCGAAAGCAAAACAATGGATCTTATGCAAGTGTGACCCAACATGCAACTTGGTATGAGGACTAGTGACTAGTCCCTCTCTGATTATAGCAAGTCCTGGCTGCTTCCATTAAAAAGTTGGAAAAAAACAATCTCTTGTTTCTCTGGCTGTACATATTATCTTGGGCGAACTTAAATGGAGAAAAAGAAAAGGGAACATGCTCTTTTTGGTGTCCCTGAAATTCCAAAGCTTATAACTTTGAACTTAATTAGTGGTATTTACTTCGTAAACCAAATGTATTATACCAAAATTTACAAGACCATTGCTTTCTTTCCTTATTTTTATGTTCTGCAAATGCAAAGAATAGAGGATAAAGCGTACGCATTGTCTTGTTCGACTGGCCTAACCTATTTCTGCAATGTCTCATTCAGTATCAGCTACATCCTTTTAACATTTACCAACATCAACATAAATACAAAGAGGAAAATATTGGAAGGAGGCAGTAAATGTGTAACTAGTGACTAACTAAAAATGAGGACTTGAGGAAAAAGAAAGAACAACCATTACTTCTGTAAGCGCAGAAAAAACACAGTTAAGTTTTGAACAGTAAATCTTCATCCTTCTTCCTACTACTTCCCCAGCTTGGAATTGGATGATGCCTGAAAATCCACCTCCAACCCTTAAAACTTTTGCTCCCCCTCTTTATCCCTCTCTCATTCACTGTCAATCTACATGAACCACCGTGTCTGAAAACACCAAACGAACCCTCATCGCATTCATCCCCCACAAGCTCACTCCGTCTCATGCTCCCAAAAACAGTCTCTCCATCTGCAATGCTCCCCACCCTCATGCCCGAAAACTCCGGCTTCGAATCCGCCGTGAAATCGAGCTTCAAATCGATAAACCTCGATTCATCCATGCCGAAATCACTCTCTTTCAGCGAAAAAACGCGTTTCGTTGCGCTGCTAAACCCTACAACATCTTCTTTCTTCTCACCATCAAAACCGCTTTTTCTCGGCTCTGCCTCACTAAATCCACTCCTTCTCCCTTCACTAAATCCGCTCTTTCTTCCCTCACTAAATCCGCTCTTTCTCCCTTCACTAAATCCGCTCTTTCTCCCGGAATCCAAAACCATTCCGGCAGTTGTAACGCTAGAGCTTCTCGCAGCAGAAATGGAGCTCCGGGCACCGGAAACCATCAAATGCTCGCCGCCATCCTCCGATCCGAAGAGGGCCCCGCCTCTGAAACTGCACAGAGACCTTGATCTCGAAACTCCCATGTGATCAACCAACCACATCTCACTTTTCTCATCAAACCCACCAACACTCTTATTCCCACCATCTTTTTCCGATCGTTTCTTCCGAAAAAACCTCCCAAATCTCCAAAAATTACTTTTCTTGATCTCGACACAACTGCTGCTGCTTCGCTGGAGCACCACCACGTCCTCTTTCTCTTGGGTTTTGCTGGGTTTTTGTAAAGGCTCCTGCTTTTCGTTCTCGATCAAAAACGAGACTCTACCGACGCTGCCGACCTCCACAGTGGAGTTTCGGTTCGACGAGACGGCGGAGCACGAGCAGGATGAGAGGCGCTGCTCGCCGCAGTCGGAGCAAGCCAGCTGGAGCAGACGATCTTTCAGACAGAATGCGCATATCCCGACAGAAGACGAATTGGGGTGCCTTCGACACGGCATTTCAGAAGAAGAGTAATACTCCATGTCGATATTTTCACGAGCTGCTTCTACAGCTTTGCCCCTCTCTTTCATGGCTTCTCCGCCGCTTCAAAGAAGATAAATAAAGCTTCGACCTCTGAAAGAAAGATAAAGCTTAAAAAAAAAAAAGCGTATGTGAGAAAACTAAAAAAATTTGATGGGATTTTGAAGAAAGATCGAATGCCAGCTCCAACAAGCGTTGCGGGACTTGAATTTGAAAGAATGGTGAGAAGGTTTTTTTTTTTTTTTGGGAAAGTCAAGAAAATCAAGAGTGGCTGTGAGATTTCTGGAGTGACTGAATGGGAAATTGAATTGAAATGAATTGATGGATGGGAGGAGGAGGAGGAGGAGGAGGCGTCAACTTTACGTTTTGCTTTCCAGAAAAACAGTGGGAAGGAGTGATGCGAGAAAGCACTAAAACCCGCTGCAGGCATTATTGTGTAGAGAAGTGAATGTCACAGCAAACTCGAGTAAAATCAGTGAAGTTATTTTTTCATAAATTTTTACTGTTACTGCGTGCATTTGTTAATTACAACATATTTTTTAATGTGTTTAGAATAAAGAATAATATGTTATATGTTATTAGGTGGATGAAAGTTTTTTTCATGTATTCCTCTACTTGTATAATATTGGAAGCTAACTCGAAATCCAAAAATAGAATATCTCATGACCTCAGTTAGAAAGTTAACTATCTCACCTTGAGTTTAGGCCTTGTTCATTCAAGCCTTGAATAAGGCCTAAGAAGGGTTTTCTCGAGGCTGGGCATAAATGTGTATCTATTTGGGATCGATACATGGTATATGTATATATGTTTCAAACACGCTGAACAATATCTGATTAATTGCATGTTAGGCCATCTCCAATCAAAGGGTCTAAAGGGCCAGAGGGTTGAAAATAGTATGAAACTCGTTTCCAACCAAAGGCTAGGCCAAATGGCTCGTGGGCCCCACAGGACAAAAAATGGCCAAAGGGCCAACCAGCTAGCCCAAGACAACCAGCCCAAGGTTGGGCCGAATTTTGAATGCAACGGTAACTAGTTGACATCAGCAAGCCGTTATATTTCAATTTTTTTTACAGTTTTTTTTTTACAAAATTTAAAAAAAATAAAAAAAATCCTATAACTTCCTAAGTCATTATTGAACAACATTAAATAACATTAAACAATATAAAAATTATACAACATAAAAAAATACATTTAACAACATGAATTTAAGCTGTTGTAGTTTTTAAGTTTAAATAATAAATTATGTTTAGCCCTATAGTCCTTTGGCCCTAAGTTGGAGATAATTTTTTGTCACATAACTATGTTTGGCCTATGGCTCTCTGGCCTCTCGGTTAGAGATGATAAGAAATATAAACATGCATTGTTCATTAAAATATTAATTTCTTAGAGTATTATAGGATCAAAATAACCTTCTGATCCTCTTTCGTTTGAAGATGACCTTAATTACTATCAGTTCAGTGCTTTTCCGGACCCACCACTGTTCCCTACTCGACATAGATATACAGCCATGCTTCGCACTGCAAGTAAAGTTATTAGATCATAAGTCTAGATCCATCAAGCTTTCCATCTGTTTTGTGAACTTTTTTTCTCTCAATGTTTTTATACCCCTCCTTTTTATTGGCGCAAGATTATTTGTTTTTCAACTAATAGATAAATTGTATTAGAGGATAGTGTCACATACCCCACGTTTATAGCGTTTATGCTTGCTCATTGCACTGTCTAGGTTTACTGACTTATGCTGGGTTACTGACTCAAATTGCAGGGAGATGATTTTAACATACTCATCCTTATTTTGATAATTAAATTAAATAAATCAAACAATCAGGTCACTTAGTGCCGCAGTGTAGTAATATTTATTTTTACTTGTAAATGAAAGGTCTTAGTTTCGATTCTCACCAAACGCGAATTTGAATTACATTATTACTAGCTCATTATAAGACTAAGCCCACTTGTTCTCTCCTAAATAACCCCGTTTTAAAAATAAAAAATAAAATAAAAAAGTCAAATTATTAGATTGAATAAATTAAACGAAAACAACGGCTAAAAATAAATTTAAAATGTGTGAGATTGTGTCTGATTAGTCCTCAAAGTCGCAAAGCCAAAATGTTGATGATGATGATGACCACGATGGTTACATTTGTCACATTGTGTGTTAAAAAAAAAAAAAAAAAACTTGTATGAAACGAATTTGTTGTTAATGTGATATTTTGAAGTTAATATTATAACTCTGGTTCTAGAGAATTTCTAGCTCCCACATCTGGTTCTTCAACATCTCCAAACCCTAGCTGTGGGCTGGGTCTGTGGCAGCCTCTTTCCCCCTCCTTCTTCTTCCCATGGTCTGTCTCCTTACCTTCTATTGGGTGGTGCTTCCTTACCCCCTATTGGGTGGTGCTTGTCCTGAGCGATGTCTCGCTATGTTGAGCGTTGTCTCACCATTGATTTCTTGTTTCGTTTTCCCCTTATTTTCTTAGATCTTCTCGCCCTCCCTCCTTTGAGGAAAGGGGTTGCCATCGTCTCTTTATGTTTATGTGTTGTTAGATCACAAACATTAAGCTCAAAACTTGGTAAATCACCAACATAAATAGCTCTATGTATTGAGATTCGAGAGAGACTTGGTTAAGGTCATCTTACTATAACAGCTCTCATATCGAACAGAACTAGTATGTGATTGACTAATACGAAAATATAAAAAACTTATATTTTTATGAGAACTGTCTTGCGTGAGATTGTCAACAGCCCACCTAGCATAAATAGAAAAGCTTATTTATGCTTAATTAGTGCCGCTTGCACGACAGATAATTATCGCAAGCACGAATCTAATTATGGAGAGGTTCAATAAAGTTGGTTAAGCTTCAATCTCCATCTGATTAACTGATCGAAAATGATTTGACATGGAACATGATTTAGCAACAAAATCCCTCCCTTTTAGTCCCACCTAAATTTGAAGCACATAAGAAAAAAAACAAAGAAAACAAAAAAAGAAACAACAAATGTAAACAAATTCATTCAGTCAAATTGCTTGTTTTACTTTTGTTGAACTTAATCCTACACTTGAGTTAAAGAAAAATATACATGCTACTAAGATGTCAAAATAGATCGGTATTCTAAATTAATAATGTGAAGCTAAACTTTAATCATATAATATCACGTAATTATTATTTTTTCTTTAAAAATGGGACCAACTGACAGCTTCATTACAGTAGTTCATTCTTTCAAGAGCCATGAAGACTCACAAATGCTTCTCAACCGCTCCCTATTCACCATCGTGTAATGTACTAATAACAAAATCAAACTCAATACGTATTGTGTGAGATACGAGTCTAAAACACTTCAACATCTCGATTGATTGAATCTAGTTGCTACCCTTTCTAACCAAAACCAATAGCAGAACGAAAATGGAGGTGGAAATAATAGCAAAGATGGCACGCCCAAGGCATGCAGATCCCCGTGCAAGGATTGGGACACAAACAATTATTTACCAAAAGAATGTTTTGTTTGATTTAATTTAGTAAAGACATCATGATGTTTTCCATTGTTCTGCTGCCTTGATTAATAATTTTGTTGTGCTGCAAATTAATGATGTTTTTAAATGTTTTGGGGATCATAAGATTGCTCTTGTTTTGAATATGCTTATCATTACATACAAACTTTACCTGCAGATTTTTTCTATAAACATGCTTCTTGTCTGACATGCACTTTCTTTGTCATGTGCTTTTGCCTACGCTTTTCCTAATAATTCAATGCTTAGCTTCAACGGTTGTAACTTGAAACCAAAATATAAAAATCCCAAACCCTTTAAGGATTTTTGTTTGGAACTACTTTTAAATGACTGAAAGCGTTTTTGTGAAAATATTTTTGAAAAAAATCTTTAGTAAAAATGTAAGTAAATACTTTGGAAACATAAACATTTTATCTATAAAGAATTTCAATCATTTTAAAAGAACTTCCAATCTTTACCCTAAGACTACATATCTAATTCATCAAGAATCCATGATTGAGATAAATGTCCAAAATATATATATATATATATATATTAATTATTGATTTCTTTATCAAATCTCTTTAAATTATTAAACCAGTGCAATAAGGCAATGAGTGCATTGATCAAATTATTGGGTGCACCACGCTCCCAGAACCCTTAAAATAAAAATAAAAAACTCACACCAAACCGGACCATCGGCATTTCTGGTACTAAGGCCCACCCCAGTCTCATTATAACAACATTAAATCAGGCCCAACACTTTGACGGCCCATTAAGCCCAATCTAAATCTCATCTCCCGCTCTCAAATTTCTTCACTTTCTCAGAGCTCTCCCAGTCGGTGACCTCCATGATTCCTCTGCAAGTCCACCACCTCACCCCACGTTTCCTCATTTCCCAAACTACCCCTCTCCACTCCGCTCTCTCTCCCACCTCTCAAGCTGTCAAATTTTCCCTCAAACGCTACCCCTTTTCGTTTTCCCCAATTTTGCTATCCAACCCCACCTGCAAATTTCCCAGGGCCGCAGGGAGCCAAACGTCGTCGCTTTCTAGAAATGAGGAAGAAAGCGCTGGAATCTCAACCGGGCTCGAAGACTTGTCGGCGGACGGCGTCGTTTATAAGAAGACATTAGCGTTGGTGGAGTGCTCCATGTTTGCTGCTCTCACTGGCTTGGTGTACTTCCTCAGCAATTCTCTCGCAATTGAGGTTCGTTAGGTCGAATTGAAATTGGCTTTTTGATAATTCAGAGAAGAACCCAAGTTAACAGCTTTAATTTTGTAATGTATGATGCTATTGTTAATGTTCTTGCTTATAAAGTAGCTTGCTTTACCTATTTTGTTGGGATTTTTTCTTCTTCTTAATTTTCAATTTTAACAGTATAGACACTTAGTTTTGCTGTTAGGATACTTCGCTTCAATCTTTGATTGTGTGCAGAGATATACAAAAGCAAGTTTTGAACAATCTGATAGTTATTTTGGTTCTAACTTATAAGTCCTCAAGTTAATCTTTCTTTTTTTTTTTTTTTTTTTTTCTGGGTATGAATTTGATGATTATAACTAGTGTACTCGTGTCAGGTTATGTATGAACTTTGCTGTGATTATCTGAGACATTTTCCGAAAATGCCTGCCAGTGGACGAAAACCTAAGGATAAGAGCCTAAGAGGCATAGGGCTAGAGAGAGGTTACGCATTCTAGTATCGGTTATCTCAATAATGTTTGTTTTAGTGCAGAATTATTTTGGCTGCTTCTTCTCGCTGCCGATAGTGATCACCTCAATGAGATGGGGCATCGCCACTGGAAGAAAAACTATGGTTTGTGACCATCCATGACCTGCCATGTTTGAAGTGGTTTGGTGTAGTGTTTTGTGTTACATAATTGCAATGGTTTTCTGATCTTGCTAGGTTGCAACAACTATGCTGTTGTTAATCCTGTCTGGTCCGGTGAAAGCCTTAACCTATCTGGTGAGCATGTCTGTCAAGTTGTTCTTGTTATTGTGAATTAGTATTTATAGCAATTTTCTAATTCTTCATGTTCGAACAAGTTGCATCTTAGTATTTCAGAATCTCTCCTTGCATAAAATAGCTGAGATATTGTCATAATTCTCAAACCATTCCAGATTAGTCGATCCATTCCAATTGATCAAGATGGCCTGGTTTCACCTAAAAAAGTTTTCAACTTTTTTCTTCAAAATTTGGTGAATATCGAATGTTTGCACTTAACCATGCTAATTGATTATCTTGTGCAGCTTAAGCATGGTTTAGTTGGTTTCACAATGGGAAGTTTATGGAGGTATGAAGTGATTCAAATTAGTTTAAACAGTGGCTAAGGATTACCTTTTTGACATCATAGTTTTATGGTGAGTCTACGTCATGCTGCTTATCAATTTTAACTTTTATTTTTTATCTTCTCAGGTCGGGAGCAAACTGGAGTCTTTCAATTTTCTTGTGCACAATTGTAGTGTTTTCTCCCTTCTGCACCGAATTCGTTATATCTATTTGAAGCAGTGGTTGTCTCTTAACCAGTCAAAAAGCTTTTACTGATGGTAACGGTTTATTATATGTGCAGGTTCGATCACTGGGTGCTGTAGGGTATGTCCTGATATCGTCGTTCTTGATAAGTGAAAACATACTTGCTTTGGTAATTTGCTATCCTTTGATATTTGTTTTATGCAGTACCAGTATTTGAGTTAAAATGGTTTTGTTCATGGATCGGTTTGCTTGCAGATAACTATAAACATTCATGCTTCTCTAACATACATATTCACTGCATCGGGCATCTATACAGTCCCGTCAATGGAAGCGATTTATGTCTTATTTGGTACTCTGGTATGTCTCTCTCTGCCTCTCGCACGCACACACTCTTTTATATACTGAAGCATTAAGGCTTTATACTTGTAACAGGTATTGATTAATTGCGGATCCTTCGTGTTCTTGATACACCTATTATATTCGGTGTTCCTTACGAGGCTCGGGATGAAAGCATCATTAAGATTGCCAAGATGGCTGGAGAAGGCTATATAATTTGACTTCCCAGAGATCGAATAATTAATAACTCTATAGTACCACATATTATAGGTCGGGGGAAAAAAACCGCAACCGCAACGGTGGTTTCATTTCTTTAAGTGAGACCATGGCAAAGATTCAGCATCGTGTATCATCACATTATTCATCATTGTCCATGACTACATTTCTGTCATGTATGCATAAAGCTACATTTTGTATCGAAAACAGGCAAATGTCGATATCCACTGTATGCATTTTGTATTCAGAGCTGCATCATCTTATACAAACTTATATCGACAAGAAACCTCGCTCGAGCTGCACCATTCTCGACTTTGCGAGCGCGTCTGAAACGAAAACTGAAAAACGCATAGAGAACTCAGGAAGCGGATGCAATGTGAATATTTCTAAATTTCTATTTATACTAACAATGCATGGATTGGAAGATAAAAGTTACCCTAAAGTTAACACCAGCATAATTCAAGCTTCCTTCTAAATTATCCTGTAATTCAACAAGAAACAGAAGTTGGGATCAAAAGTATAGTAGGTGAACGGAAGCAAATTGTCGCGTCGTATAGGAGAAAGAATGAGCACATAATGTTGTGATCTTGTGAACGACTGATGTTACAAAGTGAAGATAGAGTGTCGCTGCGTTAAGAAAATGAGAAAATTCAACCAAAAGACATGATATCGTTTAATGAAATTTGTAAGTAGACACTATATCCATAAAAATAGTAGTGTGTCATGTATTTCCAATACACGGACCTAAGTAACATATTATTGTACCTGTAAATGCACAGTAACCAAGAAGAACCAAGCTCTCGTCGACCAAAGGAACTCTGCAAACACAGGAAGTATACATGAGAAACGTCAAGACTATCAACAACAGAAGAATAACATTTCCACTTCAAGAGCCCACAACGTAATATCAAATGCAACATACCCGTCGTTCAGTCTAGCTATCGGTGCATTTGCAATGGCAAATGGAAGATACAACAATGACTGCACAGATTAAAAAATATTGGACTTAGTAATCTAATGTGGTCTTGAGTTACAAAAAATGGCAGAAGTTGTCGATGCTAAACAATGGCCGAGAAGTATGACGTTGCTATTAGAGTGTTTCCAGAAATAGACACTCAAGCGACTGTAAATTTCCAGTAGTTAGAATGTTACATACCATGTGTTGGAGAACAATTTAGAAACAACAAAATAACAGAAATACAGGACCGAAATACTTATACTTTATTATTCAAAAATACAGAATGCAATTACACAATAATTACAAAAAATTAAAATGATACTAACTTGAATGAATTGAAGGTAGAGGCTAGCGCAAAAGCTATGTCATTCGAACAATATTTCCGTCCCACTTTTGTGCTTATGGTTCTACAACGTCTGCTCAACCAAGATACAACTACCTAATTCTACAACCCACACTGGATTATAGAACTCTAGCGAATTGCTTTGTGTGTTTACTCTCTGAAAATTTTGTACAAAAGACAATGAGGAAGACAAGATGATTTTTTATGGAACTAAGAACTCCGGTTATATAAGCTTTTCCATACCTTTTCAAACACCTTTTGGATGTATCTGAAGCTATACAACTCTTTCCAAAAAGTTGTGTCTATTAATCAAAACGTTTTTAATTAATTTAATTCAAAACTTAATTCAAAATTAAAATTAATCGATCAGATTAATTTTAATTTCTTGGCCCCAAGGCCCAAGGCCCTTTTCTTGATTAATTAATATTAATTAATATTAATATTATAGTATAATCATCAAGCTTAATCTACACAATTATTGGCACAAACCTCAACCCTCATTCTAAATGGTCTAACACCTAATCAATAATAAAAAGGATTTGACCTATATAAAGGCCTTTGACGAATTGTTGTTTACAATGGGAGCTCAAAACTCCATCACCATGCAGGCTCATCACACGCGTGCGCAAGAACCAGTCTTCCCTGCCAAAACAGAGTTTTCCTGCCAAAAAATACCAAGCCAAAGTTCCTCCCAAAAGGATTACTACAGGGTAAAGCTGAGAAGAAACAACATGAAACACCCATTAAGCCAATCAAGTGTCTAGATTAGCATAAAATCAGAAAGATGGAAGCATCACCATTGCCAGTGCCAATAGTATACTTGCTTTCCTTGCTTGAACAACCTTATGAACGTTGGACACACTGCACACATGCATAAACCAGCATAAGGAAAAGTATCGAATGGCCTTCAATGGACTAAAGGTTTACACGTGAACTCTGAGCCTCTACCACATGAATAGTTTGGGGAAGTGGTAAAATTTACCTAGGCACTCACAAAAGAAAAATATGTTGGAGAACAATTCAAAAATAAACAAAAATAACAGAAATAAATAGAACTTGAAATTCTAATATTTTATTTACCAAATATACTTGATGTGCAAAATGAAATTATACAATAAATACATAAACTAATATAAAATATCAATGATACTAACTTGATCACAGAAGGTAGAGGTTAGCGTAAAAGCTATGTCCTTCGAACAGTATTTTCGTCCCACTCTTGTGCTTGTGGTTCTACAACGTCTGCTCGACCAGGATACAACTACCAAATTCTACAACCCGCACTGGATTATAGAACTCTAGGCTTTGTGTGTTTACTTTCTGGAGATTTTGTACAGAAGATAAGGAGGAAGAAAAGATGATTCTCACTTGGATACTGTGATTGCAAATATATAGGCTGTTTCACACCCTTTCAAATACATGTTTAGTGTATTTGAAAGCACACAACTTTTTCTAATAGCTGTGTCTTTTAATCAAAAAGTACAACTCTTTCTAATAGCTGTGTCTTTTATTCAAAACGTTTTTTTTAATTAATAAATTAATTAAAAAAACTTAATCCGAAAATTGAAATTAATAAATCTGATTACTTTTAAATTTCAAGGCCCTTGTCTTGATTAATTAATATTAATTGTATTTAGATTATATTATATTCAAGCTTAATCCACACAACCATCCAAGCCTTCAATCCATTTCCAAATGGCCCAAGTTCTAATTATTAAGAAACGGGAATAAGCCTATATAAAGGCTTGTGAAAAAATACTATTAACCAATATAGGACAAGAGGGTCTCAAACTCCAACAACATATTGTTGGGAATATTAACGCCAGGTTGCTGTTATATCTATAGAAAATTGTGAATGTTAATTCAACCCCATACCCCAAGGAATTCTAGGTTAATACGATCACGAAGATAGCAACGTAATAATTCTGAGTTCATGCCCACAATGTCGGGTTAGCAATGCAACCCTGCTTCCGTAACTCGAGTCTTCACAAATATGCCAAGAGTAGTATGGATAACAATTAATTACAAACTTGACTGCGAGCGTTGGGAGAACAGCAAAAGCTATCATTAGAAACAACTAGTGTATTAAAAGCATGAGACGTGGGCGAGACGTTCGAGGGATAGCTCGACCTAGGTGTGAGGTGTGAGGTAAAGTCTCACGGAATCTAAATTTTTTAATATATACACTGAGCGTACATATATATTATATTAAAAAAAAATTATTAACCACTAATCATCCTGAACACGTATATACTATAAATATATACACACACATATAGACATATATTATATTATATTATATATATATATATATATAATAGAATATGAAAAGTATAATGAGTACACATATAACAATGCATGCTAACAGCACACAAGTCCATTATTTAAAAAATAAAAATCAAGAAAAAAAAAACAGAGAGACGATAGTGCAAGGAAGAGGTATAAGGTAATTAAAATCATACCCAAATTTTGGGTTTGGGAGTTAAAAAAAAAAAAAAAAAAAGCCCTGAGGCCGCCTAGCCCCAGCGAAGCCTTACACCCACTCTCTCAACACAAAGGTGGCAACCCTCAAGCGCAACCTAGGTGCGTCCTGAGGTGAGTTTTTTAAAACATTGAAAACAACACAGGTTTGTATGTTGTGATTTCTGAAGTAAAAACAAGGAATTAAATTTCAGACCGACTGCATTGGAAGCAGTTACACGTATTGAAGCAGCCAAAGAAATAGTCATCCACAATAAATATAACCAGGCTAATCAGAGCACGTAAATGTGAAAGTGACATTGAGCTCAATAAAAATAGGTACTGCAAAATAAATACAGAAAACATAGCATGCAGTCATGTCTCGCAAAATGCAGATTGCTACATGTGTTATCATTTGTACGGCATCTACTAAATGAGGCTCGGCCTTACCATTAAGAACGGACCCAACTCATAAAAGGCAAACACTTTGCAAGTTGTAAAGCCCACCAGAACCTGAAAATGTAAAGAGAGAAAATAAGAGGCTTTAGAGTATTGGTTTAGAAGTAACTTCAAGCTGTGCATTCAAGTAAAAGAGTAGCAGAATGAAATTAGGAGTTTATCGACGAAAGCTAATTTAAATTATATACCACATTTATATACCATATTATGTGGTATCTGATATGGACAATCACATCATTTAAATTAATAAGAATTTAATTTAAATTAAAAATATTTAATAAACCAATAATTAAAAAAAAAACTAGAATTAAATGGTGATTATGGTATATGAGGAGTCTTCTCATTCCTTCCTCTTTCAATCATGTCCTGTCTCTTCTTCCATGCCAGTTCTTTCACGCCATTTTTTTTCACCCCAATTTTTTTTCACGTTAGTGTGGACTACCACCCTCTCTTGTACTTTTCACATCCACAATCTCCTTTTCTAGAAAAACCCTCCAAATCTTAAGATCCCAGTAGTGGGTTGAAGGTAACTTCGATCATGGTCGTCACCGTTCTTGACTCCGTTGCCAAAAGTGGGTTGAAGGTAACTTCCACTACTTACATGAATTTACTTCAATCTTGCATTGACACCAATTCTATTCAACTGGGTCGGAAGATACATGAGCGTATTGATGTAGTTGAGGAATTGAACCCGTTTGTTGGGACGAAGTTGGTGAGCATGTATGTGAAATGCGGGTTTTTGGATGATGCACGCAAGGTGTTCTACGCAATGCGTGAGAGAAATTTGTACTCTTGGTCGGCCATGATTGGTGCGTGTCTTAGAGACTAGAGGTGGAAAGAGGTGGTGGAGCTCTTCCTAGTGACATGCATTTGGCTTGCACTGGCACGTAACCTTGAGCTCTAATACCATGTTGAAATTTTTTAGATCGACGGACTCGGAAGGCCCCACTCTAACGACACCAATAGAGTTCCCAACTTTACCACATGCCCAATCCGTTAGGTGTGAGATTTTACCACAAAAGATCTCGATATTAGTTAGAGTAGGGTAATCATAAGCCACCCTTGTTGACTTCCCCCACCGATGTGGGACTGCCAAAGAAGACATAATCTAGTCTCAGAAAAAAAATGCTATAAATTTTCGTTCTTGTAAGTCCACAAATCAACTAAGAGAAGTATTCCATCTCCTAAGCAAAAGATAGCTGCATATTGCTGGGCTCGTAAATTTACATAAAGTCAGCTAAGGATCTCGAGCTCGATGTGCAAACTACAAATGTTTGCTCGTCTATTTGGCAGTTTTCTTAAAATAAATGTATCAAAAGTAGACTATTGACTAACCTAAATCCAAGATAAACCCAGCAGAAACTGCTAAAACAGAAAACTTATGCTCCTAAATTCGAGAACAGACGCTTGAGCGCACTCATAACACCAGACTGTAGCCACCAATTAAAGCCAAAGAGAAGAGTACATAAACTTAACTTTAGTCAATCATAACACTCGTAATCAATAGAATCAGAGAAGAAGATTAAGAAACTTACGGCATCCAAAGGGGAAAGATTTTAACGAAGCTACTCCAAAAGGGTTGCATGACATATTTGGCAACGCAAGAGTGATCCACACCACTGTACTTGTGTTTATGTAAAGTAGCCACACCATGTGCCCCAATACACCCCATCTCTTCCAAACCAAGCTTCGATTTTTCGTATGGATTCAAAATCCAAATAAGCCTCAGTACAACCAACCTGCTAACAAAATGAACTGAGATAACTCAATACAAGCATCTGAACAAAACCCATCACCGAATACAATCATACATGCTTGTCAACTTGCCCCCAAGATAATCCGGAATAACACAAACCCAAAACTAATTTTTCTGAGATTCAACACATTTAAGCATCTCAACTGGGTAATGCCCAAAATGCAGAAACAATGAAAGATTAGAACCCCGTAGACCTTTTTTCCAAAACAGAAAGAAAACATTCAAAGCTCTAAACTTTGTTAACAAAAATAAGTACCCAAAACTTTGGGGTTCTCTTCCGAAAAAATGGGTGGAAGGGATGCTAGGAGAAAAAGTTGATGCTTTTTAAAAAAAATTATTTCCTATTTTAATTCTCGCCAAAGCAGAAAAAGAGCCCCAATTTCTGGAGAAATTTTCCCGGCATCACTCCAGTTGAGTTGGTGTTTCTAGCGAATAGAAGCTTGACACGTAATTCTTCAGGTTTCTATTTGAGAAAATGTCAAACTAGCAATTTTTTTTTTTGTCAATGAAAATTTCTAATTTACCCCCAACTCTCAGATCATCTCATATTCTTCGGCTAAAACTTAAAAGTTTGAATCTATAAATGGTTTTCTCCTGTCATCCTTATGGTTAAATTTTTAAGTCAAGGTTATTAAAAAATAAATTTAATATAATTATTTTCTTAAACTAATTTAAAAAATATATATATTATGCAAACTATCTTAATTTAATTTTAAAAATATTTTAACTTAAAAATATTTATATTTCAATAAATATTAAAAAAGATTTAGGATAATTCAGTGATGAGTTGTTTCTTCCTGCCCCGTTGTATTTTCAATACTTTTGGGAGATGTGGGAACTTCGCACGTGGGTTGCTAATCAAAATTCTCTTAGCTAAAAAAATAAATATAAACTAGTCATATGTCCACATATTATACGTGTGTAATTAAATTTGTTTATTATTTGGAAGAAGCGGGGTTTGAAGTGGGACACATGGGTTTAAAAAAAAAAATTCTTCTCAATTATTTAATTTTTAAATAGGGTGTTATGTTTATTTGGGCGTGAGGTTTATGTAAATGAAAAGTAAAATTTGTGTTGCATGTAATTATCAAATTGTTCATGTTTTTATTTTTGTTTAGTGTTGATAAGAGGTTTGGAATAGTAATTTTATGAAGTTTTAGTTGACAAATAGGTTTCTATTAATAAGTAGTTTAAATAGACTTTATGTCACCCTAATTAAGATATCTCAAGATGACACGTTGATATCACATGTTACTAATAGCACATGTAACATAACAGCACATGTAACACAAGTGTTTAAAATTCCACGGATATTCAAAATACAGAACACCTTCAAATTTTTAAGTCGTTAATTCTTGATCTTTGCGTTTTTGAGCGAATACTAGATCATATAATACTCCAAAGCACTATAAAACATTTCATACTGCATATAGGTTATGAGTCCATTTTATTGTTCATGCGGTTGTAATTTGACCCTTTATTATTTTTTATTTATTTTTTAAAAAAGAACAAGTTTGTGGCAAAGCTAAGGTAGTCCACTATTTTAGAAGCAAAAAATTTCATAGGGGTATTTTAGTCTTTCATGATCACGATCATCACCATCAAAAATCGAATTCAAAATTAGCCATGTGAAATACAAGCCTAGAATTCTCTTATAGTATTGCATTGAATCGACTCGTGATTGCTACTCTATGAACTTTTTTTCTCATAAAACGTAATTGTTTTCATTAAAAGTATGTTTTACCTCAAAGTTATTCCTTCATTATAAAGCACTTTTATAACCAGAAACACTTGAATTTTTTTCTTCAAATGTAGCCATAAAGCACTTTTTATTGCCTGCAAATATTTTAAGTCACTCCATCAAATTTGGAAATGAACCAAGATCTAAATCTTGATCACACCAACATAAGGAGCCACCGCTGATCCAATCCACAAAATCCCATTGTGTTCTTCAACCTCACTAACAGCCTGCAAACTTTTACCACCCTCTCCATCCAAAACCTGCAAAACCCCACCTTGTTCGTCAAGTTTCACCCCCACAGGATCATTCACATTCAACAACTCCCCCGAGCTTTCATTATTATTCATCATATTCTGCACTTTGTTCTGCACTCCCTTAACTCCTCTTCCACTGTTGAGTCCAACCCAAAACTCTCCTTTTTTTGTTCTCTTGATGTTATCCGGAGGCCTCTGCAGCTGAGTAAAAAGTTCCAACACATGAGCTTTGGGTCCTCGGAGCCACAGCCTGTGGATTCTAAACTCGGCGGATTCCACGACGAGGACAAAGGACTTGTCGCCGCTCAGAGCCACGCCGTTTGCAAAACCAAGACCGTGGAGCAATACTTTCACTTTCTTTGTACGTGGGTCGTATTGTAGTAGCCTACCAGTTTTGTCACCGGCTAGGACCGACTGAACCCATACCCTTTGACATTGACGACAAGAAAGTATAAGAAGGTAATTAATAGACCAAAACAAATTTGACAAATCTAGCCAACAAGAGTAGATAAGGTTAAAGTCCAAAACATTAACATGGAAGCAACAAATATCCTATTAATCTGTGAATTTTCAATTCTTTAATCTTGACAAAAAAAATTCTTCAATCACTTTTATTTTATTAAACATGGATTCTTTCTTTTAATTTTATTAAATCTAAAATAACCGAATATCTCGCCTACATATGTAGAGCATCGATTTTTTTTTCTTAAAATAAGAAAATGTCAACAAAATATCACTTATGAACTCAATAGACACTCTAATTTGGGTGAATCGCATACATGTCATGTAAGCCTATCTCTTCTCAAACATATTTGGTTCTTTACTTTTGGCATCACAATCTGCTTGGACGCACTATCAGCTTGGCTTGTATAATCAAGACCGTTGAGTTAGCAAGGGTTCATTGAATGCGAGAGTTTTAAGATAATTTATCTGTGAGAGATTTTAAGATAATTTTAATAATTGTTGAGAAATAATATTGTTATTTTCAGTTGCAATAGTTAAATCTTAATAAAGTATTAAATTATCGTGACTTTTTCTTATCTATGCGAGATAAATGGAATTTGCAAACTATATCTCCAATTTAAAAGCTGTCAACTCAAATTGATCTGGGCCATTTGGCATGTGAGCATGTGGGTTGGAACAGTTGGAGCCTGGCTGGAGTGGTCTAGTTTCCACATTTACGTCGGTGTTTGTTCCCTCTTGGTTTTAATGTGATAAGGACATGACGAGTGTCGTTCAAAAAAAAAAAAAGGATATGACGAGTAATTGGATGGGATAATAATATTATCATGCATGCATGCATGCATGAGATAATGGGATAATGCATGGAGTGCATGTTGATGGGGGATGTGAACCGAATGAGAATGGGGTCATGTCTTCAAGTACTAAAAATACGAGATACCAACATAAAAGGGACTTCAACTCAATACACAAACTCTCTGCACAAAACTTCGCGCTGCACGAACCCTTCTCACATCGTGAGAACAACACAGCCCTACTTCAAAGTTTGAATTAACATCAGTACTTCAAGCTCTTCAAGTTCGGTTGAATATTCTATCCAAGTCTCAGTCAGCGAGGAGTCTTTGATTCTTTCGTCGAACAAAGTCATTTCATTTAGCTAAGTGTTGTATGATTCGTTATCTCAGTTCATTTCAAGGTTCGGCATTTTGACGGTTGAATGACTTACCATGAAGACATTTACCTTTTTCGAGTACATGTGTTCTTACATTTTAATGCTGATTCGGTCCACCTATATTTTTACGAATATAGTTGAGGCGGCCAAACCTGGTGCAGAAGATCTTGAACTTCGCATTAACTAGCAACCTTGTTTCCAGGTTTTAGAACCCAAGGCCGAGACATGTTCCTTCCTCGGCCGTGACCACTTGAGCACATAAGTCAGTAGCACATTTGATATCACCACCACATCCATTATACTTGCCGATCGAGCTCAGTTGCGAGTTAGCACGCCCGCATTCAAAAAGACGTAATTAACTCTTAATTATTTGGTATGCGTGTCATGTAGGCTTAGTAATTTTTAGGATCAACACAACCTCGTTTTGTGATGGGATTAATTATTTAGGTATATAATCAAAATTTTAGACTTAAACCTAAAATCTATGCTGTCGATTTAACAGTGATTATACTTCTTAAGTAATCAATCATATCAATAATTGTGATCAAAAGAGAAAATACGTGAATAGAAATGGGATTTTACTGACGTGCCAGTGGTTTTTTTTTTTTTTTTTTAATCAAAAGAACTCGTGCAGTCAGCAAAGGAAAATGAAGGATGGGTTAGAAAATGATGTACCTTCTTTGGAACACAGTGCTTGTGTCTGTGAAATAAACGATTCCTGTTTCTTCATCAATGTCCAAAGAGTTTACAAAAAGGAAGGGGACTCCTCCTATAGAATTGGCAAGAACCTCCGCCTTACCACCATTAGGCCCCGTCTTCATCAGCCCAAAGTAGGCATCTGCAAAGTAGAGATCACAGGTTTTAGGGTGGAACATCATACCCAGTGGCCTCCCACATATTGGTTCGTTCGTCACGTTGGTTGAACCATCACATTGTTTCCTTGCCCTGGTTTATACAAGACGATATAATAAATTATTTTGATTTAAGAAGAAGATTCAAACTTGAATGTATGCGAATAAGTTTTGTCAGTTGACTTAAACCACACTACGGCCTACTTTTGGTTTATCAACAAAGTGAATGTGGAGACTCAGCCTTTGATTGTTATTTTTAAAAACATTAGAAGTCAACTTTGCTTAGCACCCTAAAACAAAAACCAAAAAGTCAACTTTCTGGAGTTGGCGTCACGATTTTACAACTCGATTGGTGGGTAGGTAAGGATAACCCAAAAACTCCAACCTACCACTGGAATTACATTTCCTTATCCTTGGACCAAAAGAAGGAACAACAGAAATCTAAGAACTACAAACTGCAGATATTTTATTGGAAGGATCGCTGATTTACTAATGCTTTCAAACTAAATATATATCAACCTATTTTTCATTTGCAACGAAAAAAAGTGAGCTCAACAAACGTTCTTATATATTAGTGGTCATATTATATATGTTGCAAAAACAATCAAAGTTAGTTTTTGTATGTGTTTGTGTGTGTGTGTGTGCGCCTATATATATGATGTATTTTGGGTCTCTAAGACTCAGGCTAGCTAGTTAGTTTTGTTCTTCTTGTTGGGTTTCGTGGGAAGTTGGTGGGCGGAAACCCAACAAGAAGAACTAAAGTGATTAATATAGCACGAGTCTGGAGACCCTACATACACGTTTCATCAAAGAAAATAGGCAAAGAATAATGAAGGGAGATCTTGCCTGTTTGGGGAGGTGAAGGCGAACTCCGTCCAACCCAAGCGAGGTCCTTGCCAT